CCACGTCATTTTCTGCCGCTCAGACAAACAAACACTTGCTGCGCACCTCCCGATTCCGAGTTATCGTTGCTGTTATAACAGTGCCTGTCACGTAGATGTCCTTTGATGAATAAGGAGAGGAAGCAAGCCAAGCAATGTGTTACCGTGCTCGCACAGGGTGTGAGTGAAACTTAGTAGCGCACTGATGTAATAATGTGTGGGAAATTTTAGTAGCGGCTGTCATGATTCAGCAGTGGCGCACCGCCGCTCCTGAATGCTTAAAGGGGAAACACTGGGTTTCTTCTGAAGTTTGTAGACGACACGGTTTTAGTCAGTACAGAACACATTTCAGGCACAGAAAAATTGCTTTAAGCTCTGCAGTACATATGTTTAACACATTAGGAAGTGTCACCATTACTTATTTTACACACGTTTGTTTAACTGATCTTTTGTGCCCAGTGACTTTAGTTCATAAAATAGGCCTGAAGCTGCTAAATGTGTGTAGGAGGGAAAATTAAGATGAAACTCACTGAGCTGTGAAGCAATGCAGATTAATATTTATCAATTAATTGCATTTAGATGCCTTAATGTGGGTGTTAGAAATGTTGATTATGGAGTCTGGAGTTTGACACAGTGTGTGTTCTTGTTATGATATTATTATTATTATTATTATGTGGCTATTTTCATTGGTTTTTCAAAACTGCCAAACACATGGACATACAATCATGTCACGACATCCAAAACAAACCACCCCCTCCCCTGGAGGGAATCTGGCAAATATGAATCAGGCAAAAAAGAGTGGCAGGTGTGACTTCCAGATCATCAAAATGAGGCGTCTTGCTTGTAATGAAAAAGAGGACAGAGCTTCAGGCCCCACCAAATATTGCCAGCTCCTGCCCTGAATCTATGGTCTTATTACATGAGTATGTCTCAAAGATCTTGTCCCAAAACAGCCTCATCTTTGGCCATATCCAAAGGGAGTGAAAGACAGTTGCTGGGTCTCGGTTACATTGTTGACAAGTTGGATTGAATTCAGGAAAAAGTTGAGCGAGTCTTTCCCCCGACAGGTTAATTCTGTTAATTTTTTAAAACTGAATAACATTATGCCTAACACACAAGGAGCATGAGTGAATCCCAGCCGCTGCCAACCTCCAATTTTCTAATGAAATCCTCCTCTCATTTTGATTTGAGATGGTCCAGGGAGGACGGAGCAGTCAATGAGAAGATAAATTTGGGATATCAAGTCAGAAGGGCCTTAATGAATCCAATCCTCCGACCAGCTAGTAGTAGTCAGATAAGGTAATGTTGTGAAATTCTCTTCCCAACATTCCCAATTTGGATGTGTATGCTCAAAAGACAAAAATATCTTTGAACAGATCTGTCACCGTGCTCAGGCCCAGCCTGGACGCCCATTGCTGTGTCTAGTAATGAGGATAAATAATGGCTTATTGTTAAGGGGCATGTTGGAAAAGGCTTGCCTTAGCACCCAATGGGTTCTACACTGTGCCCAAGTTTTTAATGTACCTCTAATGACAGGGTTTCCTGCATGTTTCAAATTACTATACTGCTCTGATCCTTTGTCACAGAATTCCAATAAACTATTTTATGTACGTTAGCCACCCAGTAATAAAAGATAGTTTATTATTATTTGGGAGACCGAAACTCCCTCTCCCTTGTTGCGCTGAGAAAATTCCTTTTTACTCTGGGCGTAGTTTTCCACAGAAAAGTATTATAATATTCTCAGCCAACATCTTAAAGATGCTTTTGATATAAAAATTGGGAACGTTTGGAATTTGGACATTTAGGCCTTGTTATGATATATGCCATAAGTTTTAGATCTTTGGAGTTTTGATTTTTCCTCACATAATCCAAGCTGCTTGACAGTTGTTGCCAAGATAATATTAGCACTCATGACATTTAGGTTTTGTAAGGGTTAAGGCTATGGCTAATAATTAGTGTGTACATGATTATCCTGTCAATGTTTTGAAACCACTATGTGCTCTCCAGCTATCAACCAGCATCCCATTTATAATCATCTAATAATTTCTTGTCATGATCAAAATCCCAGACTATAAATATGTATGGAAAACTTTTCCCTCTAGATGTTCGCTGATAAGACTTGCAAAACAGACATTATATCCCAAAGCTAAATGACTTTTAGTAATTACCACATCATTGCTGAAAAAGGCCCATCATCATCATTATCAATAAGTTGATTAATGCTAAGATAAAACAGAGTAATTGATTTCCACACTATTAAAATATAAGATCACTATCAAGATGTATGGCAAAAGAGTCCATATAATATGATGGCCTACATACTTGTAGCGTAAGGTTTCTTTGTTTGCTGTAGTTAAATGTTGTGAAAATCAAAAAGTTGATTTATTTCAGTAATTCTATTCAAAAAGGGAAACTTGTATAATGTATATATTCATTCCACACACACTGATTTATTTATTTAAGTGTTCATTCCTTTTAATTTTGATGATTATAACTGACAACTAATGAAAACCCCAAAATCAGTATCTCAGAAAATTAGAATATTGTGAAAAGGTTCAATATTGAAGACACACTAATTAACTCAAAACAACTGCAAAGGCCTTTAAATGGTCTCTCAGTCTAGTTCTGCAGGCTACGCAATCATGGGGAAGACTGCTGACTTGACAGCTGTCCAAAAGACGACCATTGACACCTTGCACAAGGAGGGCAAGACACAAAAGGTCATTGCTAAAGAGGCTGGCTGTTCACAGAGCTCTGTGTCCAAGCACATTAATAGAGAGGCGAAGGGAAGGAAAAGATGTGGTAGGAAAAAGTGTACAAGCAATAGGGATAACCGCACCCTGGAGAGGATTGTGAAACAAAACCCATTCAAAAATGTGGGGGAGATTCACAAAAAGTGGACTGCAGCTGGAGTCAGTGCTTCAAGAACCACCACGCACAGACGTATGCAAGACATGGGTTTCAGCTGTCGCATTCCTTGTGTCAAGCCACTCTTGAACAAGACACAGCGTCAGAAGCGTCTCGCCTGGGCTAAAGACAAAAAGGACTGGACTGCTGCTGAGTGGTCCAAAGTTATGTTCTCTGATGAAAGTAAATTTTGCATTTCCTTTGGAAATCAAGGTCCCAGAGTCTGGTGGAAGAGAGGAGAGGCACAGAATCCACGTTGCTTGAAGTCCAGTGTAAAGTTTCCACAGTCAGTGATGGTTTGGGGTGCCATGTCATCTGCTGGTGTTGGTCCACTGTGTTTTCTGAGATCCAAGGTCAACGCAGCCGTCTACCAGGAAGTTTTAGAGTACTTCATGCTTCCTGCTGCTGACCAACTTTATGGAGATGCAGATTTCATTTTCCAACAGGACTTGGCACCTGCACACAGTGCCAAAGCTACCAGTACCTGGTTTAAGGACCATGGTATCCCTGTTCTTAATTGGCCAGCAAACTCACCTGACCTTAACCCTATAGAAAATCTATGGGGTATTGTGAAGAGGAATATACGATATGTCAGACCCAACAATGCAGAAGAGCTGAAGGCCACTATCAGAGCAACCTGGACTCTCATAACACCTGAGCAGTGCCACAGACTGATCGACTCCATGCCACGCCACACTGCTGCAGTAATTCAGGCAAAAGGAGCCCCAACTAAGTACTGAGTGCTGTACATGCTCATACTTTTCATGTTCATACTTTTCATTTGGCCAACACTTCTAAAAATCCTTTTTTTGTATTGGTCTTTAGTAATATTCTAATTTTCTGAGATACTGAATTTGGGATTTTCATTAGTTGTCAGTTTTAATCATCACAATTAAATGAAATAAACATTTGAAATATATTAGTCTGTGTTGAATGAATGAATGAATATAATATCCAAGTTTCACTTTTTGAATGGAATTACTGAAATAAATCAACTTTTTGATGATATTCTAATTATATGACAGCACCTGTACACATTTGACTAAAATTCAGTGGTACTTTATACTTTTTTCACTTTAATTCAGAGGGACATTTTTTCTCTTCTACTTTTCTCTATTTATTAAGCTACTTGCCACCTTTCAAATTAAGATTCTACATTTGAAAAACATGCTTATTAAATAAATTATTCAAGATTAAGTCAGTGGCCGCAGACCTTTGACTTGTGACCTTATACAAAAAAACGTGTCTAATTGTGGTCTCAGAAGTTTCAGAAGTTGTTAGTTCCTCTAAGGGGACATTTTGACTCCTAACTTTTCAGGTTTTATTTAAAGAACTTTTCAAATCATCCATGGATGAGCTACTCTTCCACACACTGTTCGACGGACGCTGCCTCTTCTCCAGTGGTGTAGTTGTACATCGCTATCTTGAAAACTTGTCACCATTTTTAAGGTAAAGAGGAAAGGTAGACTCTAACAACAAAGAAAAATAACAAAGATTGCATGTGTTTATAGGTCTTGTATCCATCAAGATGGCCTGATATTGAGTCCTCATGGAGAAGGAGTTCCCTCAGATGTCCTGGAATGTAGACCTCATCCATTGTTTTAATGGAAGCTGCAGAGTTGGTAGACTTTTTCCTCTGACAGTGTACTCACACTAGGCGATGCGTACCGTGCCCATGCACGTTTATGGAAGCGTATAGAGGACTAATTTCTAATTATAATGCAAACTTGAAAATTAATGATTCTCTTAACGCCTCTAACCCCAAACTTCTAACAAGTACTTCCTGTGTTCTTCTTCTTTATCACAATCCCCAAACCTTGACCCCCTGCCCTAGGCTCTTGGTATGTGAATGAGTGAGTTTTGATTATTTTTCCCTGTGTTGTGACTGCAGAATGCTTGGTGTGTTTTGGTTTTGTGTTTTCTTTCTCTGTTCTCCCTTTTTCTCGCAGCGAAAGGGAGGCGGGTCCAAGGATCCTAGATCACTCACGCACCTGCTTCCCATCCCTGATCACTCACCTGCTCGCTATCAAGCAATCTACTCAGCCTTCTTAAACTGCCTCTAGCCATCCAGTCTCTGCTGGACTGTTGTCATTCTGTGTGTGTACTTGCACCCCCCAACTTCGTACTGACTTGCTTTTTGAGTTAGTTTGTTCTTTTGGCTCCTGCCAAACTTGTAACTTTGTTTCTATCTGTCACACCTGCACTTACCTTCGTTTTGTGATTCCTGAGCAAGTCTCAAGCAAGTCCCAAGTTACAGTGATGAAAGTCATGTCATTGCTTCGGTCAAGCAACTCACAAGTCAAGTCATATGAAATTCTTAGGAATTCACAGTTTAAGAAAGGTGGCAATTCAACTGCATAATCATTTTGGTGATGTACTGAGTGTTTCTGTTCTAACTATTTAGTTTAATGAAATTGGGTAGAATAATAGAGTAATAGAAATGTGTCAGTAACGGTAAGCTCTTACCATTCCTGTAAAATTCATTTTATTAGGACAAATTTATTGTCCTCCAACTGCGTATATCACGTAACTATTTTGGTCCAGTCATGACTGAGTGATGCCTACAACTTCGACTACTTTAATTAACCCAGGATGGAATTTAAGAAGAATAAGGAACTTGGAAATGGCTGTTGAGAAAACAACAATTTCACCTCAGCTACAGACTTTGGTAATCCCCCCCCCCCCCCCCCCCACCACTTCTTTTACATGCACTTGCAACCACGAGTACATACCATTGATCTTGCTTTACAGGTATGTGCTAGATGTGAATTTAAGCCCAATACATAAAGTATCAATAACTAAATGAAAATAATTACTTATTTTAGGTGTACTTTTAGTTTTACAAAGGACTTGTTTCATCTGTAACTTAACTGACAATACATTTTATATTGTCACAAAATTGAGATATTCAAACTGTATGTGATATCACGGAGGATGAAGGAGCTGTAAAACTTGCATAACATCCCTTCAAGCAAATGTAAACAACATCTCTGCTGGTTTCTCATACAGGAGATGCTAATACTAGACTAAGGCAGAGCACAGGCTCAAATTGAGGCGAAACGGTTTGATTCCCAGGGCTTCTGCCCTATTTCAGAGTAAACTTCAACTCTCCAATGGCTTTTGTGATTAACACTCACCACATAGGAGCTGATAACAGTACATATCAAATTGTCAGATCTGACATCAGTACTGGAGATGAGATATTAAAGCTGGGGTACGTAACAGAGAAACTAGCAAGAGACTGCTAGACACTTCTAAATTGACGTATTAGTCGTCATCGGTCAGGAAATCTTCATGGTCCCTCCATGGACACTCTAATCCTTCCATTGTCCTCTGCAGTGCCAGAGCGCAGCCATGCAGCATTACGCATGAGTGCCAGGCATAATTTATGTTTACAGCAATCATACAGAGTACTTAACACCTCGCCAAAATGATCACCTCAGTCAGTGGTATCCCCCACCCTGGGAGACCTTTTTTGAATGGTTGTGACAGCACAGCTGTAGGGAGTGACGCTACAGGGTGTGAGGTGGGTGTGTTGGCAAGGATTGGCGGACGCGGGAGATTTTAAAGCGCCATACTTCCGCATTATCTGCCCCTCTCATCGCCACACTGACATCAGCGCTTGCTGTCTGCATTATTCACCTTTGCGCTGTTTGTTCACTGGTGAGGAGACTGTCTAAATATGCCCGTTGTTAAAATCTATGTCGGTGAGCTGTTTAACAGTGAGTTGATTACTCGCAGGCTCCTCTTCCTGGCTGTCTGTTATGCATTTGCTTGGTCTCTCGGCGTCCCCGTGTGTATGTGTGGGAGGATTCCCCTTCTCTGGGCCATATGTCCGTCTTCCTTCGCTGCCCGGTAGGTTACAGACTGTTGCATGTGGTGTCAGGTGTTGTGATCCCACTGTAGGAGAGCTAATCTGAGCTCTCCTCTTTGTGTTTTTCAGGTGCAGGATCAGCCTCATTCATTCTCCCTGCTGTCCTGTCTCTCAGTGACAGTTGAATTGCCTCCTAATTGAGTTGCCTCTTAGTGATAGTTCAGCTGCTCCTCAGTGTTGATGGATTTAAAACATTTTTAGCTGGACTTGTGTTTGCCTTTTCCTTCTGAATGTGCTACTCCTTTTTTTTTTTTTCATTTATGGGCAGCTGTCATTTTTAATTCTGTTTTGAATTAACATTAGCTTGCTTTGTTTTGAATTTTTGTTTTAATTAACTTTCATCTTGGTGTGAATTTTATTGCTGCTTGAATTAATAGCTTGCTTTGTTTGAATTGTTTTTGGTTTGGGCGCTACATGTCAGAAGTGTATTAGACAACTGGCTGCTTTTTAAAGAGATTTTAGACACATGTAAATTTAAAATAAAGAATATTTTATGTGAATGAAACACACTCTCAGTTCCTCCATCCCCAAGTAAAACTAACCTGTGTGCTTTCTAGTGTAATGGTCAACTTTAGTTTATACTTCCGGGGTGAAACTCCCCAGGTGTCGTAGTTGTAGCTGGCAGTAATACAATATAGTGTCAGTGTGAAAGAGAATCAGATGATTATTGAAATCGCATTCTAATAATCTTTGACCGCTTCCCACTCGGTGCCGCCACATGGTGAACACATTTTTATCTATGTTGGCTTTGTTATGTTTAACATGCATCATGGTTAGGACTGACGATGAGCATGTATTGTAGCAATTGTGCGAAAGCCGTCACTGGCTTTATGATGATCAGTTAGCTGAGTTGAAGTAACTGCGGTCTAACTGTTCTAAAATGTGACGACAATGTAATTTATTGTACTCAGTCAAGCCCACTAACCGTTTTCCTGAGCCTCCAGATAAAGATACAGATAGTGAAGTTACTGGCTTTTCCCCCCCCGGGAGTATTGTGCTAATATGCGACTTGCTGCACTGTATGAAAAGTACACGTGTTGATCTGCCTCTGAGCTGGGAACATGTAAGTAACAGAGCCTGAACATGTCTGGAGAAAAGCCACTGCCGACATGCTGGTGTTTCCGAGTTGATTGTGGGATCTCTCGCTCATGAGCCTGGTTGCAATCTTAGAACCGCACTGCTAGAAACTGCTAGTGGCCGCTGAAAACTCCCATTGTGCCCCTTTAAACATCCACTTACTTACATGATAAAACTTTTGTGTATCAACGGCCATAATTAGGTTTCATAGCCTACGTCATGACGCATGCACAGTAACTGGCGTAGAAATGTTATATTTTAACATTTGGTGAGTTTTGGAACTTTGAAATCTACTGACAGAGCCGGACAAAAGTTTGCGGAGGGTCCACACATTCTCACGGCAGCTCAACCTTTTTGTGCATAGGCAGCGTTTATACATGAGGCCCCCGAAAAATAAAATCAGTAAAACACAGAATAAAGCCATTTCACGCACACACAAAAAACTGCATTTCTCTGGTGCTGTTCTGTGGACACTAAGGTTTGCAGGAGCTTGTTTCTTTTATAAGATAACACTTAAATTAAGATTGAGACACCTACTTGAGCCACCTCGTTCATTTGAACATTCATTGTACGTGAAGTAGCTCCTTTTCATGTTACACAATTTTTTTTTTTTTTCAGCTCTGCAAAAAACTTGATTGCTGTGGATGTAAAACAGCTAACAAGATGGATACAAATTCATCTACAATGGAATACAGTCTTCATGGTTTATGAACCTGACGAGAACTGCCCATCTTGATATATGAACCCAATCATAAATCTAAAGATATTTATTTTATTTAACACTTCTCAGTATGTTTTTGTTTTTTATATAATCCATATTTTTATTCAGTTAATATTCTAAAAAGACATTTTGAATAAAAACAAATCAATAATAAGACAGTAAAGGACAGAGCACCTTGTTGTAAAGATGCAAATACGTGTCATGTCATTTCTATCAACTAAACTAACAGACTCTTTAGTATTGTTACATTAACAATACAGCAGAAGTTGGCTGACTAAAGCTGTTGTCCTCCCAAGATGGAGCAAAAGTCAAAATATAAATTTCAAGTGAAATATTTCTCTAGGACTGAGATTCTAGAAAAATTTTTAATTAGAATCTGCTCTTCCACCAATATTTTTGTATACCCTACGGTTATAGTAGTGTATACAACAATATTGGTGAAAAGAATCGCTGTTAAGACCAAAAACCGAAAGCAGTTAGACATTCAAATAAAACTTGACTGTTTTCAATCAAGAAGTAAGAATCTGTAATGAGATTTCAAGAAAAAAACCCACCATGATTTCTCTTGTGTATCCCACTTTGTGCCCCAAATGAGTGGAGCTCACTGCTAACATCATCTGTAAGATAAGTGTATGCTGTATGGGGATACAAAGATTAGAAGGAAGTCAGATATCAAAGCGCGCACTTGTGAGAGGCTGCTGTGGCTTCCCCACAGGTTTTGTTCCATTCACACATAAACGATGAATGCATCCACTGGAGCGTGTGTTTGTATTATGGGGAGCTATTGTTGCATTCCAGTGAGTCTCGTTTTCCATCTGAATAGGAACAGAAAATCCCTGATGGTTTCCGGAATCAGAAGTCTGACAAATATGTAGAGACAATCTGCTGAATGTAAAACCAGACCATCAAATGTGAATCCAACCTTTCCTAAAAACCTGAAATAGAGAACACCATTCTCTAGTTTCAGTTGATTTGGCTGGCTGGTTGCATGTATTTTTGTCCAAGAAACATCAATAAATTGAAGAACCAGTATTGTCAATTTTATTTAAAACATCTGAACAGTGAATACGACAATATAAAACACAACAAACTCAACTGACTAAAACAAATCTTGAATCTTGTACATTTTCCAAAAGGGGGGGGGGACATGGTAGTGAGAGATAGAGGGGGGGGGGGGTGGGGGTGTGTGTGTGGGTGTGTGTGTGTGTGTGTGTGTGTGTATATACACACACACACACACACACACACACACACACACACACACACACACACACACACACACACACACACACACACACACACACACACACACACACATCTCTCACAAGTGTGTGTTAACAAGATATTGCATATCTTGTAGGGCCTGACATTGATGCCTGAATCGCTGTCCACTCACTATTACGATGGGTATGATCCTGTGTCCTCTCCACTTTCAAAGGAAGGTTCAGAGGCACTCACAGACGTGGAGGACTCCATGTCAGACGACCCCCCCTTGTTTATTTGCCTGGTGAGGCATTCATTGATATTTGTATTTCTTTAGTCTGTAAAGGTCTACCGATCAAAATAATCAAGTCTTTTCATAAATATTAATAAATAAATACAAGTCCATTGCTCTGTCTGAAAACTTCTGCCACACTTTCTCTGTATGTTGTCTGTGTTTTGTTACTTTGCTGCCTACAAAATAAGTGTCTAAGCTGTCTGTCAGATCAGATGAATGACTTGTAAATGATGTTATTTCATATAATTTATATTAGTAATAATTAGACACTCACTCACTCTATATTGGGATGACTGAAATCTTATGTCCCAATGCAAGTCATTTCATTTTCCCCTTCATCATAAAGGGTGGGGTAAGCTATTCTGGAGTAATCAAACACCATGACAAATACCATGATGTAGAGTGAACAATACAGAATGTAATGTAACTAACGTTAGCTAGGTTGTGGGTTAGCAAACTCTTGTTACATGCTGCTGCAAAGTAAACATGAGAGGACTAGACATCCCAGCGCAACACAGCAACTCCAGTGATAAAACACTCCTGCTGCTATAGCTAACATCACAACAACAGCATGTGTTTGGGAACTAGAAGGTAAGTTGAATGTCCATGGGCAAGCCATTTAACATTATCCGACACACCCATCATGGCTGGAAAGGCTGGGGTAACATCAGTGTTGCGTGTCTCGTCCACACAACAGACTTCTCCCTGAGGTATAAGCTCCTGGTTTTTGTGATTGCATGGCCCTCCTGTTCAGAATCATCCAGTTATGAGTAAACTTCACTCTCCTACTTGTTTGTTTGTTCTTAATAGAAATTTCTTCCCTAGACGCTATTGTCAAATGATATATATCGTATCACACAACCCTAGTAATAAATAATATTCATACTGGTGGAAATAAACAGTTTCATTGTAGCATATTTCACATCTTTGCTAAGCAAGACTTTTGTTTTTCTGTTCAACTTGTCTTCCATATTTGATGTTCATATGAGATCTGCATGTGTATTCAAACTCAAAATTAAAAAGTAACGTGCCGTGTGTGGCCACACAGAGCAACCTATTTAATACACAAATTTTTCATAGAAGTGGAGGCACATTACGCAATCTCCACTTTCTGAACGCACATCTCTGGGCTAGCTGTCTCACCCAAATAAGGAAGCGTTTTTTTTCTTTAAACTATCTAGTCTTGAGCTTTTTGGGAGAGGTCTTTGTGTAAGCGTTTATATTCCTACTTGAATCTGACAGCAGCTGCATTAACAAAACAAAATGTGGCCACACATGGCACATGAAATTTTACTATTCAACCCAAGCAGGAAGATTCCGGTCAGAACTGGGTGAAACGCGGAAGTCCCTTAAACCTGCATTCTATTTAACAGCCAGCAGGGGCGACTTTTCTGGTCCAGCTCCATTAGAAATAATGGAAAATTATCCTACTTCTCAGCTGATTTATTACCTCAGTAAACGCTTTCCTTATGAGTTTATGGTCTCAATCGCTAGTTTAGAGTGTTCTTAAATACAACATGACGTTCATTTAGTAAATTATGGTCCCATTTAGAGGAAATAAAACCATAAAGCAGAGTATGTTACAGGGCGGGATTATCTGGGATCGGGATTATCTCAGGCCAGAGTGACTGCACTGTGTAAATTTTACCAGCGACGATGAAAAAGCGTATTAGGAGTTGGCTGTTCACTTTCTCTGGTGAGTACATTTAGTTTTAAGACTTTTGTTCGCTAGACAAAGCTGTCAGCCATGTTAAAATGACAGTTAATTACAGATGCACCTGGCTACGCAAGTTAGCTAGCTCCACACACGGCGGTAACATCCACCATCTCGTCAAGGTATGGTCACATTCGGTGCAGCTGGTTGCAAAAAATTTACATGGCAGTGCACTATCGGCCAAACTCGAGGCTTCAAAACGCCAGTCAACAAACCAACGGGTCACGTCACGACGACTACGTCC